CGTAGGTGGGCACCCAGAGCTCTACGATACCTCATATTAGTAGAGACCGGATGAAACTATGTGCATAAATGAATGTGTATAAATCATATGGTCCAGGGAACAATAGCACGCCACACCCTGGACAGGCAGGGATGGGTTTTCTGAAATGACAGAAAGCAGAATGGCAACACTACTAACAAAGTAAATAAAAAGGTATGAATTAGCTGGCATGTTTGCATTAAGACTAAATACAACCCTTTGGCTTAAGTATTTCTTGCTTCAGGTGGTTATCTGAGATTACTTTGGCGTCTGTCTTTTGCAATGAAGTAGCTTTAAAATAAAAATGTGACATTCACCAGTATTTCAAAACATTCAGGGATACACCAGTCATCATTAAATGTCATTCTGCAATCTGTGTGATTATGATCCCTAACATTATTTCCTGGTCTGTTTTCATTTCCTAGCTTTTCAAAATCAGATATGAATCCAAGACAAGAGAAAAATAAAGTGAATCAATCGGCCACATGTAGTGCTTATCACTCTGCATCTTTAGTGTACTATGTACAAAAATGATTTTGTACATAGTATATGACACAATGACACTGTGTAGGTTTATGTAAATACCCTGGAACAAAAGACTCAGACATTAAAGCAGCGATACAGCATTTTAACACCAGTGTTTAATAATTTCACTTTACCCATGTACATCCAGAGTTATTACAGCCTCTAAATCTGAGACAGGCGACTTTGTTGCATTTCCCAAAACATCAGCAGCAACAGTTTGACTTTTATATCTCAGAGTTTCTCGTCAACCTTCCTCTAAGTATATGGCGGCTTATGTTTGTTGGATTTTCTTTGTATTATAGTTTGCATCTTTCTTATTAATGTTGCTATGTCAAATTGAACAACTGTTCAATAAACTTAAGCGTGACTGAACATAACTGTCTTCTCCCTCCCATGTATATTTCATCCTGTCTGAAAGCTCAGTCAAACTCAGAGAGTGTCTCCCCGCAGAGTTGAGTGTGCTCTGTCTCGTGGTCCCGGTGTGATCCCTCTCCAGGGTTCATCCCTCTGGCTGATCTGATGCAGTTCTCCAGGAAACATTTGCTCTGAGCTTCAGGATCTCCCCAGTTACTACAGGATCTCATCACATCAGTGGAGAGAGGAGTGTGCAGAGTCCTCCATCACTGAAGTCCTTTGCAGAGAGGATATCATATTTGGATGTGACAGTATAGATAGGCCCTTGATGTTGTGCTGCAGCAAGTCATTTTAGTTGATCATGAAGTGAGTGAAGAAAGCATAGAGCTGATAACTGGTAGTTGTTGGTGACACATGATCAAGCATTAATCAATACACTTGGACAAGCAGGCATGAAGACATGCAGTATGTTGTCACATGCATGAATGCATTTAAAACACAGCACACACACACACACAAACACACACACACCTGTAGTGCAGGAAGAAAAAAGAACAACGCGCCTCAAACAAAAATACTCACCACATGGTTTCAATCACTTTAAAAATAAACAATTGAAATTGTAATAATGAATGATTATGCTGCATTTTGTGAATCATGTATCTGAGTTTTCTCCTACTAATGGAAATGACTTGACAGAGAACCATCTGCTATAAACTCTATATGCATATTCGACAATTTCACTATTTGCAAACTTTGCCACCCTTTTACCAATAAAGTCAAACCTCAACTGGCTCAACAGGAGAGTGGGCTGGCTGAAGTGGCACTCCCTGCCAGCCCAAGTGAATAAGTGAATATGTCAGGACATTCATATACATTTGCTTCACTGGACAAATTTATTTACAGAAGAAAATGATCTACATATTAATTTGTGAAAAACAAAAGACAGGTATCACAATAAGTGAACTAAAAGGCAAAGTGGGATATCAAAAAGGTTTTTGTTTATAATATTCTCTCAAGGGAGCTATGATCTTCCTCAAAGCTTCATTCTTTATTCATTAATCATGAGTAATGGTTGGGCCACATGAGGAGAAGTGCATAGTTCCTATTTTTCTGTTTGTTCCTGAAAATTCTGCCGAACTTTCACAAAAAAATGTTAACGCAATTGATTTTTTATCTTCAATTCATGAGCGTCTTTCCAGGTTTGTTCCTGTAAGGATTTTCAACATTAAATGTCTGAAACATTATTGGGTATATTTAGTGCATCTTGACATGATTGTCAGGTGTGGTTAAACATGCAAAAAGCTAACCCACCTTGGTGCAATGAAGGAAAACTCCAAACAAGCACAAATCCAAGAAATAGACCACCGCCCAGTGAAAAATGCATTTCTACTGCATTTGTACTATACTTCACAAATAATACACATAAAATGTTACAGTGAGAGTACAGATTGGCTATAGATGTTGTAAAGTGTCAAGTTATTTTATCTGATCCATAGGTGAATGCAGAAAACATGAAACATCTCTGGTAACCGTTAGTCATGAGTGATCAACCTTTAATCTATGTGTGCGGATTCATTGTTGTGTACAGCTGATGCATTCAAATCACAACAGCATGCACAGTTGTTTGGGAACTATGTGAGAAAATATTGTATTCTTCAAGCAGTAGTATAGTAATTCAAACCAATATGTATAAATAGTAAAAACAAGACAGAAATTTACATTTCTTTTTGAATATTTCATATTGCAGTGATTCATTCTTTCTGAAAGAGAAAAAGTAAAAGCACAAAAAAGTGGCTCACTTTACTTCAGCTTCATGGAGTACCTCACAATAATGTGACTATTTCAACACGAGGATGCAGTGGAAAGCGGATAACAGCTTTTTACACAACAGGAATCTGAAGCCAAAAAAATATTTTAGATTAGGAAGAAAACACAGAGACACGCAGATAGAAATGAGGAAGCAGTGATTGCAGAAATCTCACGATCCTGTTCATGCTGCACACAACATCCAGACTCTGATTTCAAGGTAAGATCTACACATGACAAACTGCTAAATATTGGAATTTAAATTTATTGTATTATTTGAAAACCTTTTGTTTTATTTATATATTTTTTGTAACTTTTTCCAGCTGCATTGTTTATTCTAGCAGTTCGAGGTAAATCAGAGTTAATTAATTTGTTGCACATAGAGTACTAAGAGCAAATCAAAAGTGTTGACTTCATGGTCTCTTTTCCCTTTTATATCAGATGAAGGTTTTGCTGCTGTTGGTGATGTTGACAGCATGTGCTGCAGCTCCTCAAGGTAAAAAAACAATCCTTATTTGACAGATGGAATAACAAAAGGAAATGTTGGAGTTTGTAGCAGTTTGTTGCCTTTTTCCTCAAATTTGCTGACACACTTGTCATGCAAAACTCTTTTAGACAAATCGCATATTTTTTTGTAGTATATTAATAGCAGATCTCTGAACTGGGCAAAATATGTCAGATATATCTACTTATATTACCAATTGTATCTTTAAGCATATGTCTGCTACATTTGAGATAATACATTTATTATTTTCCATTTTCATCTAAAATTTTCAACTAACATTGTTCAACATAATGACGGTTAACAAATCTAACAGAACAGAAAAGTAATCAAAAGACTATTTTGTTTTAATATCAAACTTGGATGTTTTAATGATTTCATAACTGTTGTTAATTTGCTTAATTGTGGACATGTACTTGACTCGACACAGCCAAAACACTGGTGCCCCTTCCACTTTCAATCATGACTGCATTTGAAGATTAAATGTACCTATATATATACTTGTGCAAAACAAATAGATACCCGGCAAAACAATAAGCAAACCAAAAAGCTAATTGGAGGATCAAAAAGATTTTTAATGACGGTATGTAGTGTCTCTATTTGTATAAGACATCATAGTTGACACCATAGCAAGTATTTTCCTTCCTCAAAGTGTTCTTATGAATCCTGAATGATGGCGTGCAGAGCAATGCTTATATGTGTGACAGAGTTCAACAGACAGTGGTTCACATGGTACTGCTTGTAATACCGTGCAAGATGACATTCATCCAAAATATCATGTCATTTGTTACCACAATCTTTGTATAATATTGATAACGAAGATAATGTTTAATGTACTTAGTCAACTGTTACACTGCTACACCATAGGGCTGGAAATAGTAATCCATGCTGATGAACAAATCGATATAAAAAAAAACGACAAAACCTCCCTTTCTTCTTTCAGATCTGTCAGGTAAAATGTTCATCTTCCCACAAGAAACCAGCTCAGCTCATGTGAGGCTGACCGCATCAAGACAGGGTTTTGGTGCTGTAACCGTCTGTCACAGGTAAAACTGAATGTTGAAAATGTACAAAACAACCCATTGTATCTCTCACTGTGATAAGTATCATGCACGATAATGTCTTTTCAATGCCTACAGATCCTTCACAGACCTTCAGAGAGACCACGTCCTTTTCTCTTTGGCCACATCCAGTTCTGCCAATGACTTCCTGATTTTCTGGGACGAAGCAAGTAAAGGAATTGCGCCCCATATCAAGAATGTAAAGTCACAATATAAAGGGTGTGACTACAAGTCGAACATGTGGCACTCTATTTGTACAACATGGAACTCTGAGTCCGGACTGGTGCAGCTGTGGTTTGATGGACAACCTTCAATTAAGAAGTTTGTCAGCTCTGGATCAAACATCAGTGGATCTACTATAATTGTCTTAGGACAGGTACAGTTTTATTAATAAGCACCATAATAAATGTTCTAAATAAACACATTTATTCTTAGTTTATTGTGTGTATCTAGTGTATAGATTTCAGTACAAATATTGTACAATTTAGCTTTTATTAACTGTATCTCAAACCGCATTTGTAATCTACAGGAGCAGGATTCCCATGGTGGGGGGTTTGACTTGAAGCAGTGTTTCATTGGCATGATGTCTGATGTACACATGTGGGACTACGCCCTTTCCCCCTGTGAGATCCAGAAGTACGTGGATGAACTAAACTTCACCCCAGGGAATGTGCTCAACTGGAGTGCGCTGGAGTTCCAGATCACAGGCAGAGTGCTGATAGAAGATAAACAAAAGACCTGTTACTAAAATTTAAAACAAAACTACAATAATTTGAGTTATGCAAATCAAGTGGGTTTGAAATATTTCTCAATAAAGTCCTGCTACAAAGGTGTGTCTTCACAGTGATCTTTATTGTGTGGTTAAACACAAAAATGTTCGTCCAGAGGCAGAAATGTTGGATTCTAATGCTGTGTTCACACCAAATGTGATTTCTTTGCGTGACAAAATTACATACGTCTAGACGCAAAAGGATGCGAGTAGACCTAAAATCTCGGATGCTAATGCATGCCGCAAATATGCACAAGTTGAACTTTTTAATTTTAATTACATTTTTTAATTTATTATACTATATTGGGGAATTAAGGGGGAAATTTGTCTCCGCATTTGACCCATCCCTGTATATAGGGAGCAGTGGGCTGCCAATAAATTTGTGTGACGCTGTGAAAGCCTATCAGCGTTGAGAATATTGTAGCCGTAGGTGGGCACCCAGAGCTCTACGATACCTCATATTAGTAGAGAC